ATATATAATTTTTTTACTTATAAAAAATATTTCTTACGTTACAGTAATGGACAAAATTTGGATTGGAAATGTTCTTTATTGTCAAGAAAATAACGCCAAAATGCAAAATAATTTAAATTTTTTTAATGCAAATATTATTTCTGTTGAATTTGTGGTGAAATAAAACTTGGATTTATTTATTGGTCATCTTTCACGAGTAAAAAACAATTTTTATTCTGTAAAAGGAAGGCCACAGAAATATTTTGCAGCTTTTTTTACAAGTTATTTACAACCTTTGTGTGATGATAGGACAATATATCAACCAGGCCCGACTAAAGTGTTCTTGTATCTCATTTGCCACCAAATGTATATATTATGTATTTAATAATATTAAATATATTATGTATATAACTCATGGAAAACCCACATCACTCAACATTTCAGTCAACTACAGTGTAGTTTGTATTTAATCTGAGCGATCACCGGTGAGATGTGTTTCCAGAGTTTCAGTGTTGTATTTGGGCTGTTTTAACAGCGTTCCTCAGGTCTCAAGACCGACTCAACAAACCTGCTATTAACTGACTCCAGATTGCTCTGATAGGCGTAGTTCACGCTTTCATTGTTTTTCCACAGAATGATGTGCGTCAGTAAAACAGATTATTCAGGAGAAACTATTGAGAATCATTGTGCTCCTGACCAGCTGTGCTGTGAAACATGCCGCATCTTGCAGTGAGAAGTATTTTATCCAGATACGTGACTTACTGATGGATCTGAATGAGGATCTGAGAGGCCGTTGTTGGGTGGAGGATTTTAACGATCGTGTATTTAGGGGCTATAAATAGTGCAAGGGCACTCAGGACAGTTTACATGCATATCTTACTGGCTTTAAAAGTTTTTAGTGGTGTTTGCTAAGACAAAGTTTACTGTTACTCGTTCTGAGCGACTGTGATTTGATCAAACTCTGTGTGAGTTGCCCTGTTATAAATAAATAATAAAAAAAATCAAATAAATAAATAAATATTCATATATATATATATTTATACACAACCGATCAAAAGTTTGGGATCAGAACGATTTTTAATGTTTTTACAGGAGTTTCTTCTGCTCATCAAGGCTGCGTTTATCTGATCAAAAATACAGGAAAAAATGTGATATTGTGAAATATTATTATGATGTAAAATAACGTTTTTTTATTTTAATATACATTAAAATGTAATTTATTTCTGTGATGCACAGCTGTATTATCAGCATCATTACTGCAGTCTTCAGTGTCACATGATCTTCAGAAATCAGTATAATATACTGATTTATTATCAATGTTGGAAACTGTTGCTGCTTCATATTTTTTTGGAACCTGTGATACTTTTTTTCAGGATTCTTTGATGAATAAAAAGTTAAATAAAAGAGCATTTATTTAAAATAGAAATCTTTTCTAACAATATACACTACCGTTCAAAAGTTTGGGGTCAGTAAATTTGTATTCTTTCTTTTTTTGAAAGATATTAAAACTTGTATTCAGCAAGGATGTGTTAAATTTCGGCTCATTAAAGATTAATCTTGCAGCCGCGTTCTGGATTAAATTGTAGAGGTTTGATAGAAGTGGCTGGAAGACCTGCCAAGAGAGCATTGCAATAGTCCAGCCTGGACAGAACAAGAGCTTGAGCAAGGAGTTGTGTTGCATGTTCTGAAAGAAAGGACCTGATCTTCCTAATGTTGTATAAAGCAAATCTGCAGGACCGGGTAGTTTTAGCAATGTGGTCTGAGAAATTCAGCTTATCATCAATCACAACTCCAAGGTTTCTAGCTGTTTTTGAAGCAGTTATGGATGATGAGCCTAACTGGATGGTGAAATTTTGATAAAGTGATGGGTTTGTTGAAACCACAAGCAGTTCTGTCTTAGCCAGGTTGAGTTGATGGTATATTTATATATATATAGAATTCACATAGTTAGATTTTTTTGTAAAAAAAAAAATTATAATAATAAAAATTTAAAAAAAAAAAAGGCAAAACTACTTCTTTGGCAGGACAAAAAAACATTATTGTTGAGCCCTGAAAAAGAATAAATAATTCTTTCATCAAATTACACGGCAGGTTTTCAATATTATTTGAAAGGGTGTTGCTTTAGGGACATTTAGGACAATCAAAGTCTTTTTAGACACCACCCTTTCAAATAATAATAAAACATGCCACAGTTACATATTATCGATGGGACCAATTACACTATGTATTAATGTATCATTTTATAATGATAAATGATTCTAAATGATAATAAAGGTTACATTATGAGAACCAAAAACATTGAAATACCCAAACTCTCCACAGCAATGCTAAGCTATCTGAAGCAGTCATACAGTATCTGTATAGATGCCTATTTTAGATATTTTTAATATTTATTAATGAAAAAATAAAAAAAGTGAAGAAATATATATAATATGGTGTTTTTGTGACGTGATACCTCTTTATCCATAATTATTTCTGTATAATTCATTAATAGCACTAGAGGGCAGCATCACAGCTTCACCTGTCACTCATCAAACAACCAGCTTTACTAAAGTTCATTGTAATCATAAAGATCTCAGAGGATATGATCATGTCTGGACCCCACATTACAACAGTAACGCAAACTGCTAGAGGAGAGGAGCTCCCTGAACACCACACCGAAGACCATCAACTACTGTAACAAACTCCTGCAAACAAGAGAACATGCGGAAATAATTACGATTAAATAAGTTCTTACTTCTGATTATAAATGTCGTAAAATCCACCAGGCATCACTCAAAAGCGTCAGATTCCTGCAGAGCACTGAAGATTTTTCATTCATTAATTTGAATAACAAAAAACAGCTGTATTCATGACCTGTTTCTGTTGC